ATTATTAACTATATAAGTATAATATTAATTATTTAAAAAATAATTAACAACGTGTTACAATCTGAAACAAATGATGTCATTGTTTCAGAAAATACTATAAAAGAAAATTGAAGTAAATTATTACCTTCAAGATCATCTGTGATCTTTGTTGAATCATCAATATTCATCTTCTGAGCTTCTAAGTCTTTAATATTTTCAGCTTTAAAATCTTTCTTGTTATTAATCATTTTATTGATTTCGATGGGTAAAACTTTCACCGTTATTCATTTTAAACCGGAGCATTCCTTTAGGTAACATAAATAAACTACACTTTTATGAAAGATTTTAATTATATAAATAACAGGGATTATAAAAGTAATGGGATTAGCACAATATATATCATTTTTGGAATATAAATGTTAAAACAGTAACATATAAAATATTTTCAATTCATTTTAAATGTTTAATAATTATAACAAATATAAAAAGAAAATGTGAAAAATTAACAGTTGTAAAAAATTATATAATTATTCTAAGTTATAGAGTTAATAAACCTTTAGGAATATATTTTTTTGAATTTTAAATCTTTAAATAATAAAAATGCCAGGCTTTTTATTTTAAAAACCTTTTTTAATAAAAAATTGATAGTTTTTAGGTTGGCACCTTATTTTGTAGTTTTAATTCATCAATTAGATTAGTATTTATAACTTTTTATTGATCATTCTTAACAAATAATAAAAATAGTTTAATAAAATTCATCAAAAATTCTTTTTTATATTCTAACGAATTGTACAAATTCCGATTCTTTATATCGATAACAAAAAAAAGCTTAAACGATTTGTAATAGTAAAATAGCGGTCTTTCTTTTATTTTTTATTATTTAAACTTTATATGGCGTCATATACACACAATTAACCGGGTATGACATCCGGTTGTTAAGTTTATAAAATTCTCACTATGGTTTTCCACATCGTAGTCATAAAAATAAGAGTTTAGACCATAGTATGCTTTTCACTCATCTGAAACAATGACACTTTGCGTATCCACGTGTTCAAACAATAGTTGCAACAAAGTGTCCTTATATCATTTCTTTATATGAAACACCTTTACTTTCCTGATACTTTAATCTGCCATTCCAAAAACACATGGCCCGTTAACTCTATTGCAAAAGTTGTTAGTACGATTGTTAATCCCTTACTCTTCATGAAATTAACAAGAAGAAGTTTTATTTAGTTGTACTTTCGAAACCTCTAAAAAAAGAAACATCTATTTGTACAACTTTCCCAGGTACTCCTAATTTTTGATTTATAATATAATTATGAGTTTCCAATCGAATATAATTAATCCAATTGGTTACTTGGATCAAGTCTGAAATTTGAATCACAATCATCATGTATATTACTGCTATTTCCTCAAAATAAAGAAATATATGTTTTAACAACTTCTGAATTGCTGTTACAAGTCGTGTTTTTTCTTTTTCATAACAAAATAAGACATTCGCAGAGATACTCTGCTCTTTACGGTAAACTTACACCATCGAAAGAAATGGGTATAAACACCCTTTCTAATCTTCATGAAGAGTCTTTTGCTTTCACAAAATCCACACCACATTTCGGCCATAATTTTTATGACGCAAATTGATCTAAAAAAGTCAAAAAAACATTATCTTCTATAATAATCTCTTATAGTTCACTGTATTGTGTTAAAGATTTAATAATTTTTTATTTAATAAAATTTTATGAGATACCAATCAATTTTAGAAGTTATTTTTTGTATAGTGCGCCAATCAAAAGAATGCCGTTAAATATAATAAAAATTTATAGTTTTAATATTAATTAATTACTTAACTATATAATTATTTGAATATATAAACAAA